AGTAATATAAAATGGATGGAGTATCCAAGTATCGATCCTCAAGGACTTCTAAATAATTTCCAAACTCTAAAGTTTTAATTAATAGTGAACGTTGAAATGAGTGATTCTTGTAAAATGAGAAGTGGACACAAATAATGGTTTTGGATTTGGGATTTGGTCTTATACTGGTAAAACCTAGCCCGAATTACTTCAAGTTAGCCAACAAACAATCAAGGATACGCTAAGGACGATATGCATTTTACTTTAGGAACGAACGACTACGCTTTTCACATGACTTATGTTTAAGCAAGTTCAAAGTCCTAAGACATTCCCTAATATGTCTATTATGAGAGATATCTTAGTCTTAGGATGGAAATAGTCGCAACCTCGGGTTAAGGTCCTATGTCTAGGCTACTTAACCGGAACCCTTATGTCTAAGGCGCTCCTCCCCTCGGTTTAACAACTCAACAATGCAAATAAGCAACCTTTTCAGTATTGACTTGATAAGACTTACAGTGGCCTTCTCTAAATCTTAACTTTTTGGAAAAACATGTTGAGCAATGGGTGGAAAGCAAAAACACTACTTCTTAGCAACCCTTTTTAGAATAAAAGGCTAACTATCCATAACCGGGCTAGAGACAGGAATTTAGAAAGACATATTGAAGAAAATACAGCAAGTAAAATGGTTGAAATTGAAATGCATGTGTGAAAAACAAAAGTTAACTAACGGAGAGTTTTGCTCGGGATTGAGAGCTTTGCCTTTCTCTTTCAAGCAAGGGGGAGTGTCACGTGTTCTTTCCTCCAAAAATACACAATTCTCTTAACTAAAAATAAAGTAAAGGCAAAGTAAAGATAAGCTAAGTGCTGGATTTTTATAAATTTGAATAGGTAGAAAATAACTAAGTAACAACGGAAACAAAACAAAGTTCAATAAAGGAATGTAAAGTGCTCGGGATTTAAAAACTAAAAGCATCTAATGAAAGCAACTCAAAAGTACTTAGAAAGCAACAAAGAAACACTAAGAATGATCAAGAGAAGGAAGCAAGGCTTGATGATTTTGGTGGAGAAGCTACTGGAATTTATAGCTCTGCAGAATTGGTTAGGTAGGTCCTAAAACGCTGGTGGATCACCCATTTCCAACTCCTTTGACTGACTAAATCGTGCTCAAACTGACAGTGGAACACTTCTTCTACACGTATGCATTGGTTGGAACCACCAAAACGCATTGGAAGACGCGTTTCATTAAGGGCAAAGTTGGAAGAAAACCAAGATTTCTGCAGCCTACCAGGCGCCTGGCGCCTCCAATGAAGGTTTTTCCGTCTTTTTGCTTCTTTTTATTAATTTGCACTCCCAAATGGTCCTAAAATGTCATAAATACAATATAAGCCAACCAAAAACCATCATATATGAATTTTGCATGAATTGGAACTCAAACGATCGAGAAAAAGTCCGGAACAAGGTTAAAACATAGTAAAAACAGCATCTAAAACCTTATTTTTACACATGTAAACAAGCGTAATCATGTCGGTTAGGCTAGGGAATAATGTCGTGCAATGCAGGCATCGTTAAAATCTTACTGCTATGGAATAAAATGGGGAATTAGACATTGGGTTAACTCAAAGAACACTTTCTCTTATTGATTTATGGATATTTTTCTTTTAGTATTCAAATTACTGATGTATTTGGGATTACGAGACAAAACGATTATTTTCTTGAATGGATTCCCGACCACTGAGGCGGGTATTATCTCCTGGATATTCCATGATTGTGTGCCTTCATTTTGTATGTTGCATTAGGAGAACATTACTGTTTCGTTATCTTAAATGGGAGGGTTCAGTAAGCATTATAGGGCTGTTACTTCGTTAAACGTGTCAGAAATTTGGGTCTTTACAGTTGGTATGAGAGTCGAAACGTTCCTGTAGACTGACCTAGTAACTAGGGTACTTAGGAGTAGTGATCCCGATCGGCCTCCTTGCCATCACCAGGTACGCCTCATGCTTGCTCTTTTGAACTTATACTTTCCCTTAAATTGCCTTTGCGTTTAATTCTTTTCTCATCAGTTAAAGTTGCAGCTAGAATGTAGCTGACTTTGCTCTTATGTGGCAGTTTCTACTGCCATTCTATTGTTGGTCTTTTCGTAGAGTAACGTGCTAACGTCGTGCTTGATTGTTGTACTCTTTCATCCAGACAATGCCACCCCGTCGTAGTATGAGGCTGCGTGCAGGCGTCGACCCAGCTCCCGGAGGTGAAAATGTAGGCGACCCACCACCCCATCCTGCTCGTGATCAGGCAGGGGTAGTTCCTCCAATTCCTCCAGCAACAGCTCAGGAGTAGGTAAATCCCCCAGTTTCCCCGGCAGTTCCCTAGGGAAACCCACAGTTGGCGTTGCTTGTGGAGGCATTGTAGGCACTGGTCAATAACACAGCAGGGGTTGGCGGTGCACAAACTCAGCCACCTCGACACTTTCATACTCCCCAGAGCGAGGCTGAATTCATCAAGGATTTCAAGTGTTACGGACCCCCTACCTTTGACGGGGGAAGCGAGAAAGCGACAGCAGCAGAAGAGTGGGTCAGGGAGTTGGAAGCCCTTTACATGTACCTAAGTTGCGAGAACCAATTCAAGGTTAAGGGTGTGGTCTTTATGTTGAGGGGCGAGGCTCTGAATTGGTGGGACTCAGTAGCAGTGGCTGAAGACCATGCTAACGTACCAATTACGTGGGCAAGGTTCAAGGACTTGTTGTACGACTACTATTACCCGAAGACCATGAAAGATATGAAAGAGGCAGAATTCCTCCATTTCAGCCATGGAACCTTAACGGTAGCACAGTATGAAAGGAAGTTTACGGAGCTCTCTTGTTTTGCTCGGGAATTAATTCCCACTGAAGCAATGAAAATCAAGAGGTTTGTTAAGGGCTTACGCAAGGGAATAAGGGGACCAGTGGACCTTCAACGACCCGCCACCTACGCTGAAGCAGTTAGGGGCACCTTAATCATGGATAATGATGTCTCCAACAGTGTCCAACCTCTGGTGGAAGTCGGATCATCTTCAGGTGTGAAAAGGAAGGTTTCTCCGGCTTACGCCGACCAGCCATTTAGAGCACCCCAGCGCCCGGCTCAGCAGCAGGGCCTGCCACCAGTGTGCCCCTCCTGCCAGAAAAGACAAGCGGGGCAGTGTTGGACGGGAAATAGAGGTTGCTTCAGGTGCGGAAGGGAAGGGCATTTCGCAAGGGAATGTTCTATGACGGCCGCGAATACCCAGAGGCTAGGGCAGAGGGCTACCCCAACAGTTTCGACACAGGGAGGTAATTAGAGGGCTCCTGTCTTCGCACTTACTCTCAAGGAAGCGGCGGATGCCGAAACCGTGGTCACAGGTACTTCTTTCTCGCTTGAGGTTTTCTTTTTGTTTTATTTAGGGTGTTGCGTGCGGGGTTTATGTCTTTACCTTTGCATTATCTCCCAGGTACGGACTTAGTCCATAATGTACCTGCTTATGTATTGTTTGACTTGGGATCGAGTCACACCTTCATCTCTACTGCGTTTGTTCGTCAGGCAACCCTCGAACTAGAGCCGTTAGGGTTTCTGTTGTCAGTTTCTACACCTTCAGGGTCGGTTTTGATTGCTAGTCAAATGGTGAGAGCAGGTGAGTTATCTTTTGACAATCAGACACTAGAGGCAAGATTGATCCAACTGGACATGCGGGATTTTGACGTCATTTTGGGTATGGATTGGCTAGCTACCAACCAAGCCAACATTAATTGCTCAAAGAGGGAAGTCTCTTTCCAACTACCTTCGGGTCGAAGCTTTACGTTTAAAGGAGTTTCGGGTGGAGTTCCAAGGGCAGTCTCAGCGTTGAAGGCAAGGCGCCTTTTATACAATGGTGCCTGGGAATATTTGGCCAGTGTCGTCGACATTAGTGTGACTCCACCCAGCATCGACTCCGCCCACGTGGTCAAAGTGTTTTCAGATGTGTTCCCTGAAGACCTCCAGGGGCTACCTCCTATCCGTGAACTAGACTTTTGCATCGATTTATTGCCCGGGACAGCCCCTATCTCGAAGGCACCATGCCGCATGGCTCCAGTGGAACTTAAGGAGCTCAAGGCTCAGCTGGAGGAGCTCTTAGACAAGGGCTTCATTCGCCCGAGTGTGTCTCCTTGGGGTGCTCCAGTGCTTTTTGTAAAAAAGAAGGACGGATCTATGCGACTTTGCGTCGATTACCGAGAGTTGAACAAGGTGACAACGAAGAATAGATACCCCCTTCCTCGCATCGACGAGCTCTTTGACCAACTAGAAGGAGCGAGGGTGTTCTCGAAGGTAGACCTACGATCGGGGTACCACCAGTTGAGAATTAAGGATGCCGACATACCAAAGACAGCCTTCAAGACCAGGTATTGGCATTTTGAGTTTAGTGTAATGTCCTTCGGACTCACTAATGCCCCTGAGGCATTCATGGATCTCATGAATCGGGTTTTTAAGGAATTTTTGGACATGTTTGTGATCGTATTTATCGACGATATTTTAATTTACTCCAAGAAAGAAGAACAGCACGAAGGACATCTGTGACGGGTCCTGATCGCCTTGAGAGGGAATAGCTTGTATGCGAAGTTCTCAAAATGCGAGTTTTGGTTGGATAAGGTGGCCTTCCTTGGCCACATAGTCACCAGGGAAGGTATTGCCGTGGACCCGGCCAAAGTAGAGGAGGTCAGTGGTTGGCCAAGGCCTCGCACCGTGACCGAAATCCGCAGTTTTCTCGGGCTAGCTGGCTATTACAGGAGGTTCGTCCAAGATTTCTCCCGGTTGGCGGCGCCCTTGACTCAGTTGACCCGTAAGAATGCCACATTCGCTTGGAGCGATGGGTGCGAGAAGAGTTTTCAGGACTAAAGAAGCGTTTGGTCACGGCCCCGGTACTAATGGTACCGGATGGGATGGGAGGTCTAGTGGTGTACAATGAC